TTATTGATGAAAAACATTGAATTATCAATTAATGCCGAGGTTAACAGAAAGTCGGTCATGGGAATTACTACGTGGAGTTTAAGGTGACTTTTTCAAGAGGTTCGCAGCCTTTCTGAACCAGTAAAACTTCCCGAAATAGTTGTTACCCTAGTGTAAGACTTCGACGAAATCGATGAAATGTATCAAAAGTAGCAGAAAGAGTTGTGGGTGAGCCAAATTTGCTATATAAAACCCGCCATTACTTTCGAGTCAATTCCACAAACTGCCAGGCACACACGCAAATCACTTTCCCACGTTCAGAGTAACGTGCTAATATCACACTACATTGGAACGATGAAATATCGCGTAGAAATCCTTTAAATACTAGCAAACTTAAAATAAATGCTTATCTAGTTTAACTCGGATACTTGGACGCCCCGTATTCACTGGTTGTGCGGGCCCCAGCATATTCTCCATTTTCGGAGTATTGGTAGTTTAGCCATTGTGGTTTCCTGGAGTCCCGAGGTCAGCCTGGCCTGAGTCTCAGGTCGTCATCACCCCAGGCAGTCGCTGGCTTTATGGATCAGAGGGAGATTTACCACCATGCGACTAGTTTGATACCAGGACGGTGGTGAATCCTGGTATTGGTTTACTCTTAGCTGGGCTTCCTGATGGAAACGCTGGATTCCTTCCCATCCCGAGAGACCCCATATGGGGGGTGAATCGCCTCGCTGTATATTATATCGCAGCCCGACACCCGGGAACAACTCCCAGCCCCGACGAAGTAGCAAACCGCTGGAAGTTATCTAATTCGAATAAAAGGTAAATAAATAAAAAAGGTGACGGCGTCTATCAACAAGGAGGCAAGCGAATTTCCCAACAACCTTTCTACCTCGGTGTTAATGTTCAGTCGCTCCATGAATGAATATTATAAGCAGAAGAAACTAACATACAACACAAGATGGCGAAAACAGTTGCAGTCCGGACCCAGTTTAGCCAGTGGGATGAATCCGGTTGCAGAAGCCAGCCAGAACAAGCCGAATGGAAGAATATGTGCTGAGTAGAGAATAGCCTGTGATACCATCGACTGCCTCTGGAAATATCTGTTAAACACATTAATTTCACTGGTCATTTCTAATTTTTGGCATTAAAATTAGCTAAAGTTGACGATACCTAGGTGCTAATAAGATCGGTACTTCTTAGTAAAACACATAATATAAGAAATATCGAGTACAGATTTTACAAAAGAACAGAAAATAAACACTAGGACTTAAGATATCCTTAGACACGTGCAGACCAGACCATTTAAAAAATAGATTCTAAAATAAATGCAGTGATATTCAGTTACAAATGGCATGGATTGGAAAGCAGAACATTTCGTGTTAACAAGTAAAATGAATCCAAATATATGGACGAAATGGACGTGGACTATTGAGAAAATGTGCTCCATTTAGGCAGAATACTCCGGGACCTTTAATTTCCGACACCGTCGTTGAAGGCGTTGGGTCTCATTTTGGCCTAAATTTTCCTATTACGAGTGTCTATGGGTATTTTCTTCTCTTCTTGTTGGCTTATTTGTAAGACCTTTGTGTCTGTTCTTGCCTTGTGCTCTTTCCGACTCTAAGTTCTTAGGGGTATGTGGCGCAGTGGTCGGGGCGCGAAGTAGTGCACGAGGGATCGATTTCGTGGCCCTGGCCCATCAAGCTTTGCATCCTTCCGGGGTCGGGAAGTTGGTACCAGATTAGTCTGGGAAGATAGCAGCACTGGCTCGATACATTGGTAGGCCACTGCGAGTCCAAGCCAGATATGCAATCAATCACCAAACGATCCTTAATGAAGTCGAATGCATGGCGCATTCCTCAGAGATTGATCGACGCCAAGAGCTTTATCCTTTATCTTTCTTCATGTCTGATCGATTTTTCCGATTATCCTAGAATGTTGTAGTATGGACATTTGTGACTGCAGACCATGACATATACTGTTCAGGAAGCATGGGAAAACCGAAGGGAATTCGTACGGCTCGTAAGCTGAAGATTCATCGTCAATCTCAACGATGGTGTGACAAGGCGTACAAGAAAGCTCACCTTGGTACTCGTTGGAAGTCCAATCCATTCGGAGGTGCCTCTCATGCCAAGGGAATCGTCCTGGAAAAGATGTAGGTTTTTTGCGTTGATGTTACATTGGAATCGGGGACAAGGACAATATTCTGCTCATCAAAAGCACTGGTTTCTGCTAGCATTTCTAGCTTTGCCAGCCGTCAAATTGAGCTAGATTATTTCGAGTGGCTTTGGGTGAGGTGATTGCTCTTTTAACAGTTGTCTCAATTGCACTCAAACAAACCAGCCACTCAAGGTGTTGGAGCATTTCTCCTTGTGTTTTCTACATTTATCATGCATTTTTAGTGGTGTTGAAGCCAAGCAACCCAATTCCGCCATTCGTAAGTGTGTCCGTGTCCAACTTATTAAAAACGGGAAGAAGATTACTGCGTTTGTTCCTAATGATGGTTGCTTGAATTTCGTTGAGGTTAGTATTTCCATTTTGTTGATCCTATATTAATATTGATGCGTCTAACATTGAGTGTAAGTTTAATAACACTGGGCTTCCTGTTGGAAACCGGACTCCTCAGCTTGAGAGGCTCAGTTAGGGAGAGTTTCCATCAAGAAGTCCAGGTAAGGGTAAGTCGATACCAGGACCCACCATCGTCCTGGTGTCAAACCACTCGCATGGTGACAAGTCTCTGTCTGATCCACGGGGGCGGCGACTACCTGTAGCGGTGGCGACCTGGAGCAGATGACTAGGCTGACCTCAGAACTCTAGGGAACCATACCGGCTAAACCAACGAAACTCCGGAAAATACGGGAATTGTGTTGGGGCTCGCACATCCAGCGAAAATGGGCCATTCAAGTAGCCAAGTAATAATGCTACATATTGCCCTGGAGCAACATGTCCTCAATGTGTTAATCTCTTGATCATTTATGTCAGCAATCCGTAATGTTCTTGTGTATACTATTCCTCATTGGACCCCTGTCTGGAATTGTTTTTAAGATAGTTCATACTACTTGAAACGAAAGCTACTTTACCAGAAAATTCCCCTTATTGTGGCTTCTATTAAAGGAATCTCTTAGCATCATACTTGCCTGGATTTGTAGAGATTTACTCTACATTATGAAAACGTGGCATTTGCACGTTCGTCTGCGTTCTTTTTCGGTATTTCGGTACGGTCGGTTCGGTATTTTGACGTTGTTCTCTTTTTTCCATTCGCGGATTCCGTCGTAACACTGTCGTTAATTTGGCTGTAGTCATCTGATCTCGACTTTACAAGTATAAGGAAATTCTCAAAAGCGTGAAGTTAGGGAATAATTGTGAGATCGCGACTGCATTTAGTAAGAGTTCTTGGCTTTAAAAAAATGGCTAGGAGCGTTTTGTAGGCCGTAAGATATCACTGTAGTACAAGTGCGTATCAGAAATTCAGGGCATTATCGTCGTTGGATAGTAAGAGAAGTGGTCTTCTTCATGAGGATCCGAAAATTACTCTTGGCGTAACAGTGTTCATTTAAAGTTGCATGATCTAACCTTTTCCGGCCTCAGAAATCATGGCGATTGTGTAAATACAACCAGTACTAGGTTCTCTCTACCCCCTGTCATGATTGAGCTAGCATAGAACGTAACAAACTTCAAAAACCGACTTTCCTTCAACCTACCTCTATGGGACTATTCAACATGTGTCCTTTCACTGATAAGCTAACACGGGCTTGTTAAAAAACGTTTACTCGGCTAATGCTTTGTCGCCTTCTTTCTCAGAGCCAGATTGATTCGGGCCGATTGTGCACAGTTCTTCCTTCCTATCTGGGTATTTTTGATCGCATCCGTGATGTAGAAGGGAGAGTTCTGGACAGTCGACTCGGATTGCCCCTGCTCTGAGGAAATCTAGGGTACTGAAACGCTAAGCAAATGAAGTTTTTTAACAAACCGATGTTAGCTTGTTAATAAAGTAATACATATCATAATTGAATCGGTTTCACATTCTCTTTCGTTGTTTCATTTTCTTCAGCGTCAAAAGCTTGTAATTTGACTGGCATTTTAAGTCTACAGTTCGTATAGCGTATATCATACTTCCTTGTGCATCGCTATTGTCCATGTAACCTTCATTCACTGTTAATGGGCTAAGTTGTCGACAACATTCCGACTTTACCGTTTTTGGTTTGCATCAAAGATTTTGTGAAGTAAAGTAGAACAGTAGGATTTCTAGGACGACTGTCTATTTGATACTTCATCTAAGCTTTTCTACTCCACTGGAAGAAAACCTTGAAACTACTCATCGAAAAGTAGAACAGTAACGACGTAGTTGGAGCAGACGGCGCGTGGCTTTGATCCGCAGCTAGTCCTGGGCTTTGGGCCCCTGCCCTGACCCCACGGTTCAACAGACCTTCGAAATTTGGGCATCACGTAAGTAAGATAAAATTGTGACAAGCATTCTAGAATGCGCTATTGAGAGATGATAGGAGTGTCGCGTTCGGCGAAAACGAGAGCAGGAATCCGCGGGGTTCTTATCTGCTTCAGTAGTGGGAGGACAAAGAAGCTGCCACGTTCGCCAAAACAGTAGGTCAAAACGCGTCATCATGTATATGTACACGTAGATTCTCAAAGGCACTGCATTGTGATCGCTCTTCCATTAGGTTGAGCGGAAGCATTAGCGTTCTTGAGTGTGATAAAGACAGTAAATATGTATTATATTTCACTCATGTAATATATTCATGTTCTATTCAAGTATTTTCACGATGTGCTACTATACTACTCTTCTACTTTAGGAAAACGATGAGGTGCTCGTTTCTGGTTTCGGTCGATCTGGTCACGCCGTCGGAGACATTCCCGGTGTTCGTTTCAAGATTGTGAAGGTCGCTAACACATCACTTTCTGCCTTGTTTAAAGGGAAGAAGGAGAGACCACGTTCATAAATACTCTGTTGTTGTTGTATTTGTCATAAGTTTTGTTAGAAGTAAGTAAGTAAAGCATTAAGGGTTGGAAAAACTAGATCTGCTAATCCTGTGAAATATTACTAAAATCACATATTATTTTGGCCGTAACGTCAGGTATCATTCCTGCGGAAATAATGGGGACATATTGGGGAATTATTTCTGAGTCCATTTGGTCTAGAATTTATCGCTATTAAGAGTGATTAGGAATCGTATATAATACAGTCATGACAAAATGTGGACGAAGTACAATTCGCATGCCTTGGATCTGATACCATCATGGGACAATAGAATGCAGTCCAACCATCTTTTGTTTGATTGGTGCGGTATGGGGCGTTTGTAGAATACGGCCAGAACCGGCTTCGTCTTAGCGGTTGATTATATCTGGAGAAAAAATTGCTCGATTGCGCTTGCCTTTGATTTGTATGTCTTGATTTCCCATCTTGATGTTCTTCCTTGGTTTTTCCTTCGTTTCTTGAACACGAACAACATCTTTTTGTGCATGCGATTTGCACTGTAGTACAAGCGATTCCTTAAGAAAAACTGAGGGCGGTGTATCTGCGGTATAGAATGCATGAGGTTAGCAGCAAAATAATAGATAGAGTTTCAAGAACATTCAGGATTGAACACGATACTGGTTTTCCAACAACAGTAATTGAGAACCCGTGAACGAGAAAGAGTTGTGTAATATGTTTCCACATATCGCACTAATGCTATGTCTCATGAATAGTTTTCTAAAAAGGTGTTCGCATTGGTTCCTCATAATGCACACAAGACCCTGGTCCGACCCATTACTCCACGAAGGTTTCGCTCCCAGTGGTGTTAGGGAGTGGGGACCATACACGTCCTGGAAGCCCTCGAGTCCACAGGACCTAGGAACGCCCTATCACAGCTATCCTAGAATCAGAGAGAATCGAGTGAACCACTATTCATTGATGTTCAGTGAAGGACATCAAGAAATCTCAAGCAGCAGGGGAACCCACGCATAAAGTCCAATAACTTATATAGATGATTGGTACAAGAAAAATGGATTGGGAGGTGCTAAGGTAAGCACAGTAGAGATGCAAATGAGTGTCATAAAGGTTGCATGGATATGCCTTCTAGTTCTCGTTTGTTGATATTTGATAATGTTCGAGTTGTGGAAATTTTTAACACAAGCAAGGAATTCAGCGTCCACAATGGGTTCCAAGACACTACTCTATGAGAGAGGTTAGCTGGTTAAAATAGATCAATTCGGGAGGATATCCTATGAGGTCAAGGAGGATAGTTGGACTTATATGTTGTTGGTAGTGAACAGCTATCGATTTTAATGGTTCTAACCTGGTAAAGTTCACCACAGTGGGCGGGTAGGGCCATGGTGGCGATGCCGTTCATCAAATGCATGGTCGTCGTTCGACCCACTCTGGCCCAACAAGCCTTCCAAACCTTCGGGGTCGGGAATTTTGTGTCAAATTTGTATGAAGAGAGACAGACATTTATAAAGAAAACGACGATCCTCAAGCTGCATCCGAATCCACGCTCAAAAGGTTTGAAGACCTTCGTGTGGTTGACAGATGCTAGGAGTGGAATGCAAGAACTTGTGGGATCCTTACAGTATGTGGAAATACGGATTGTGTAAAAAAGAAAGTTAACCGTGAGCCACGGTGTAGTTGCTCGAAGTTGGAAGTACAAACTATTTTCTTCCATTCTTGAGCCATGTATGGTTGGCGTAATCGCAGATGTGTTTGAGTAATGAGAACCAACATGGAAGAAGAACAGTGGGGAAAATTACTGTTACACATGACGATAACCCTGAAAGTGCTGGAGGGTATTTCATTAATTATTCACTTGAAAATTGTAAAGCTACCATCATACAACCTTTAACACTATTTATTACACTTTACTAGAGGAAAGGTACAAGTTAAGGTCTTTCAATTTTGAAGTAGACACCAAAATTGGGTCAAAGTAATCAGAAGTGCGTGCGAAGTGGAGTCGAATACATGCCATTGTTGCTTTCTTACGAATACTATTCTCCTTAAGACGATTAGACATAGGCAGGCACCATTTGACGACAATGCCATGGTCATCTGCATTCTTTTGCGGCTGGATTGGGGTTTCAACCAGTTAAGTAACTGGTTTATCTAGCGGGATGAATAAGAGTCGCCCGGTTGCGACCAGATCTGGGTCAGCGTGTGGTTGTATGATCAAGCCCCGCGCCCTAATGACGACCACCGTCCTTCTCTTTCTATGCTGTCTTCTGACCATTTCCATGGTCGTAACCGTGCTTCTAAACCAGTTTCATCGAATATCAACACATATTCTTAGGAATGACAGAAGACGGCTGTACAAATCGAACGATTGCGCACGCAGAACGTTTTTGCAAGCATTTCGTTCATAACGCATGTCGTGCTATCTAATGTGGCTTGTTTAGTGAATCGATTTTTACGTAGGTGCATTTCTAGATTTCCACAATTTTCCACCTTAGGAGAAGTTTGCACTTCTAATGCTTTCGTTTGATGAGGTAACTCTTAGATATTTCTTCCTTTCATTTCTAATTCAAAACTCCACCATAATAATTCCTCCACTCCACCTTGGTGATTCCACGACCGACTTTCTAGTTCTAGCTTTTTCTAGGGTTTTCGACTCCAGCTTAGTAATGGTTGAAGGCTCAGCGTCGTCATTTTCCGGGCTTGTGTTTCTTACGGTTGCCAGTTGTATATATGTATGTTTTTCCTTATAGACATTTCTATTTCTCATGTGTTAACACAGAGCTACTAAACAAAGTTCATCTGTTCTTTGCTGAAGTTTTCATGAATTTATATGATCTTATAAACTGATCTTGTTGAGCCGATGCGAGGTTGGTAGAGGTTTTCGATGCCGTTGTTGTTGTTGGTGTTGTTGGTCGGTGACTGACGTCCCAGCGATTTCGCCTTCCTCAGAGCCGTGCTGTTACGAGTGGGACTTTTCATGAAATTATATTATTTATAACCTTTAAAAGGCATGGTGACTTGCATTTTATTTCTCAAACATTTTTTCGTCTCTACGATTAGAACCAAGAGGGCAATTCTTTGTCATATCGTAAAGACTCTCGATCTGTTTCATTCCTTCTAGTCGGTCAATCGGTTCGAAGTAAATAGAAAATCATACATAGCACAGCCTTTCGATGTTTTTCTTCAATAAACAGGCATGAGGTTGTTATTATAGAATTTATTAGGATACAATAGCTGACGCTTTGGCCCGGTTTCGGTTAACGGAAAGTCGGTCTTGGGAATTGATACATAGCTTTTATTTCCTCTACCTATCTTTCTGTTCATTGTCCACCAATTCGATCTGGCATTAGTAGAGATCTCGTTCGCTTAGCTTCATAGAGCTGCCTAGTGGGTTCTGCTCTTTCGATGGATACAAAGAGCATTAATTCGTCATTGTCCTTATAAAAATATCTGACCACGGGATCGGTGTTTCTCCCATTCAGCATCTCAAATTCCATGAAATCCAGTCTCTAACGTTGCTTGTCTAACCCGCCTTCGCAAAGTTTTTTGTCATCAGCTTTTTTTCCAACATCTTAACGTACGCCGTGCAGTCCATAAACTTCGGCCATGCATATAAATAGATCGGAACTTTGGAACCTATATTTCACTCTTGAAGTAGAATACTTACCATCATGTTGACCATATCGCGTTCGTTAAACCTGGGCCCACTTCTATTCCGGTTTTCTCGAACCCAAGTTTTTAAACATTACCTCTGATTAGATTAGTATAACATATTGAGAAAGTTCAAACGTGCTTGTAAGGTTATCATCTTTTTGGTTTACTTGGACGGCAAGGATAAAGACTTTTCCGTTATTCCTCTTTTTTATCTGAATCATACCGAGGCAGGTTTTCTACGATCACTTTATTTTGCGCATCTGGGTGCTTATTAATTCATTTATGAAGACATTGTAGTATCGTCGAAATATTTGATGTTAGACTTTCTACAAGGATACTTAGATGGCCCGTCTTCAATGGTTGTGCAGTCCCAGCATAAGTCCCATTTTTTTTCGGAGTTTTTCTGGTCCAGCCATTGTGGTTCCCTGGAGTCCCGAGGTTTGCCTGGTCAATGTCTGCCCAAGGTCGTCACCACCACAGGCAGTTACCGGCCTTTGTGGATCAGAGCGAATTTTGCTTCCATGCGACTACTTCCATGTCAGGACGCGGTGGTGGATCCTATTATGGAGACTTTCTACATGTAATCATATGGGTGAGATGGGTGATGTAATGATAGCGGCAAAACTCATTTCTCATCCTTGAAAACGCTACGGAGTTACCAAACTTCATCTACTAACTCGATAAATACAGTACTATTGAATTCCAGGAACCGATTGATCCCAAATAAATGTTTAGTCAAGCGAGCTTCAGTAATATGTAGCGCAAGCTCTGAAAAGTCATGGTTAGATCATCAAAATTAGAGGAAAACGGTTAATGTAAAATATGTAAGAAAGGAGCTCTTCGAAAAATTTTGCCAAATTCCTTAGGGCATTTTGATAACTGCCTGAAAAGGTTCAACTAGTGTGTGAGTATCCTATTACGTTCACACGATGTATACACTTCATTTCGGGAGTTTTTCCGTTGTTCTCGTGGAATTAAAGACTCTCATTCCCTTCGATTTTTTTCCACCCTATGGTGTGGGTGTTTAAATTTGGAATATCATTGTTGAAATCACAATGTTAACTCTCTATTTAGTGCCCATAATTATTATTCACTGCAAGATATGGCGTGAGATGCATTCACCTTCTTTTACATTTTTGAGAAATTAGGTAGAAAGCTGGCTTAAAGAGCGGCAAAGCAGGGACCTAGACAGTGCATTGGGTAGCAGGCGAGTCCTCGGAAAGAGTAATCGCAGTTCGATCTGGCCTGATGTCCAAGTTTTGTAGTATTCATTATTGAGTCAGGCGATCGATATTGAAATCAGTGATTGTTTAGATTTTTTATTAAACCGAATAAGGTCGTGGATTCCATTGTTTACGT